AACAGCATCTGGCTGAGTTGGCTGGTGAGACTCTCCCCCAGCCTTGAGGACATGGGGAGGGTGCTAAGGCAGCCTTGACACAAGAGCCAGGGAGGCATAGCCCACAGGTGGCATTGCCACAATTTGGTGGCATCGAGCCAAGTCCTGCCAACCTATTATTAGCACCTCGATGCTACTGTGAGAAGACATGGCAGGCTCAGTTCAGCAGCTTCTACTTGTTGTCAGGGCTATCAGACGGGGATAAGGACAGGATTCACATTTTTCCTTTTTATTTTTTTGCTGACTCCAGGGCAGTAGCTGACAGTTTGCAGTCCTGGCCAGGTTTTTGAAATACTGCAATTTTGTGGTTCACCAAAGAGCTTGAAAGTTTCCTAAGCAGTCTTGAGAAAGCTTATTAAATTGTGAATGTCCACACATTCCCCTAGGCTCCTCAAACATTCTCTTTCCTTTGGACAAAAAGTTAACCTTAATCCTCTTTTTTAGGCCACAGAGGGTGGCTCAAAAAGAAAAAAAAAACCCTTAGAACAGGGCCAGAGGGTGAGGTTAAGTTTATCACACAAGGACCTGGTCAGCTTGTCCTAGTGCTAGGAAGATAAGGGGCATGCATCTGCTAGGGTTCTAGCAGGTGTTCTATGTACAATGATTGCTTAGGTTCACCTGCAACCTCTCCCCCTCCCCCATCCAGCCACCTGACCACTTCCCTTTCTCTCACCTATCTGATAATTCTCTCCCTGGTAGCACTTGGGCTTCGTTAAGGACTACTTCCAACTTCTTTGATGAAGGTTGATTTAGGGGCCAGAGTGGCCCCCTCAGACAGTGGAGGAGGGTAATATTATGGGAGCTCTAATCACTTACTGCTGCTGCTGGAACTGGACATCTGTAGTGACTTCCTGCATTATGTGGGCTGGACTACAAAACTTCTGAAAATGCTACTGAGAACCACAATCATGCCCCACCACCCCTCTGCTACTAAGATTAAGAACTCAGTTCCTCTATGCCACCATCTCTCCACTACGTATTGGAAGAGGAGAGAGGGTGTGTGGGTGTGGGTGTGGTTGTGGGGCACACACATACACCTTCAAGACAGCCTATGCTGCTTCTGGATCAGAAAGGAAAATCAGTAGATGCATATTCTCCCTAAGGAATAGGGTGCTATTTCCACAGAGATTGGGAACATGCAGAAAGGGAAAGGGGGGGGAGTCGCAGATTTATTCTCCTGACTCCACCCAGGAAAATGGGGGCAGTGGTTAAGAACCCTGGAACTCAGTCCTCTTAAGTACCCCTGCCCCTACAATCCCTCTCTCCCTCTGACTGTAGAAGGTGGATGATGGAGAGTGCCTTCCAGATCCTTTATTTAAGGAGGGTGCCCAGGCCAGACATCTTTTCATTTTCTATCCAGCTACACGCCTTTTGTCTATATCATGCCCTCACACCATGGGTATCCTCCCACTTTCCCATTTTTTGTGTTTTATCTTCCCCCATTAGATTTTGAGCCCCTTGAGGGCAGGACTGGTTTTTGCTTTTCTTTGTATCCCCAGAAGGGCAATGCCAAGGAATGTTCCAATTAGTGAACAATCACACTCATGTCACACACCAGCAAGGTTATGCTTAAGATTTTGCAAGCTTGGCTTCAGCAATATGTGAACTGAGAATTATCAGAAGAGCAGGCTGGTTTTCAAAGAGGCAGAGGAGCTAGAGACCATATTTCCAGCATTCCTTGGATTATGGAGAAAGCAAAGGAGTTCCAGAAAAAACATCGATGTCTGCTTCATTGACTATACTAAAGCCTTTGACTGTGGGGATCCCAACAAAATGTGGCAAGTCCTCAAAGATATGGGAGCATCAAATCATCTTACCTGTCTCCTGAAGAACCTGTGTGCAGGCCAAGAAGCAGCAGTTGGAACTGAACATGGAACAACTGATTGGTTTAAGTTTTGAAAAGAAATACAAGGCTGTATGTTGTCACCTTATTTACTTAACTTATATGCAGAGTACATCATGTGAAATGCCAGGCTGAATGAATCAAAAGCCAGAATTAAGGTTGCTGGGAGAACAATCTCAGATAGGCAGATGATACCACTCTAATGGCAGAAAGTGAAGAGAAATTAAGAAGCCTCTTGATGAAAGTGAAAGAGGAGAGTGTAAAAGCTGGCTTGAAGCTTAACATAAAAAAAAATCTTGGCAATTGGTCCCATCACTTCCTGGCAAACAGAGGGAGAAGAAATGGAAGCAATGTCAGATTTTCTATTCTTGGACTCAATGATCATTGCAGACAGTGACTTCAGCCATGAAATTAAAGATACTCACTCCTTGGAAGGAAAGCTATGGCAAATCTGGATGGCAGACTAAAAAGCAGAGACATCACCTTGCTGACAAAGGTCTGTATAGTCAAAAGTATGGTTTTTCCAGTAGCAATGTACAGCTGTGAGAGGTGAAGTATAAGGAAAGCTGAGCACAGCAGAATCAACACTTTTGTATTGTGGTGCTAGAGAAGACTTTTGAGAGTCCCTCAGACAGCAAGGAGATAAAATCAGTCAATAGTTAAAAACATTAATTCAGGCTATTCACTGGCAGGTCAAATACTGAAGCTGAAGCTTAAATACTTTGGAAGCTCTTTGGAAAAGACCCTGATGTTGGGAAAGATTGAAGGCAAAAGGAAAAGGGGATGGCAGAGGGTGAGATGGATAGAGAGTGTTATAGAACCAATGAACGTGAACTTGGACAGACTTGGAGAGATAATGGAGAATAGGAGAGCCTGGTGTGCTGTGGTACATGGGGTCATGAAGCATTGGACACGACAAAACAACAATAGTAGTATCCCCAGTGTTTAGCACAATGCCTGGAACATAGTAGGTGCTTAATAAATGTTTACTGACTGAGTGACCAAATGAAGAAAAAATTGACCAAGTAGGCACAGAGACATTGCAAACAAATGCAAAAAAAAGTAGAAATAGCTAACATATCCTTCACAGACCATAACACAATGAAAATAGATATTGGTTCAGGGCCCACAAATAAAAGATATGGACATAAATGGAGACTTCACAATGAAATCCTAAATAATGATTTGTTCATAATCTACCTATCCTGCCCTAGTCTCCCTGATGATCTTCGATTTCACATCTCCAGTTGCCTTTTAGACATCTTGAATTGGATGTCCAGTAGACATCTTAAACGCAACATGTCCAAAACAGAATTCATTATCTTTCCCCCTAAATCCTACTCACCTCCTATTACTGAGACAGTAATAACATTCTCCCAGTCCCTCAGGCTCACAGCCTAGGAGTCATCCTGGACTCCCCACTATCTCTCACCCCCCATATCCATCCAAGCTGTTGCCAAGGCCTATTGAGTTGACCTTTGTAGCATCTCTCAAATAAACCTCTTCCTCTCCTCTGACTCTCTCTCTGTCTCTCTCTATCACACACACACACACACACACACACACACACACACACACCCCTCTGCCTTGTGCAGGGGGATGACATCACCTTATACCTGGATTATTGTAATAGCTGCTGGTGGGTCTGCCTGCCTCAAGTTTCTCCCCACTCCAGTCCATCCTCTACTCAGTCACTAAAGCAATCTTTCTAAAACACAGATCAGACCATGCCATCTCCCTCCCCCTCCACCCCCAACTCAACAAACTCAAGGGGCAAATACAGAATTCTGTGTTTAGCATTCAAAGCCCTTTATAACCTGGCCCCCTCCTACCTTCCCAGTCTTCTTACACCTTACTCCCTGACATGTATTCTTCCATCCAGTGACAATGGTTTCCAGGCTGTTTCACCAAACAAACCACTCCATCAAATTCTCTCTGGAATGCTCTCCCTCCTCTGCTCCAACTACTGACCTCTCCCACCTTCTACAAGAATCCTTCCCCAACTCCTCCTACTTCTAGTGTCTCCCCTCTATTATTTCCTAGTTATCTTGTATATTGCTTGTTTGTTCATATTTCTTGCTCATTGTCTCCCCTACTAGATCGTAAGCTCTTTGAGTGTAAGGACTCTATTTTGCCTCTTTTTGTAGCCCCAGCACTTAGCACAGTGCCTGGCACACAGCAGGCTTTTAAAAATGCTCACTGACCGACCAGAAAGAGCAACCAGGCTGAGTCCCTGGAAAAGGATGTGGCCTTTGCTTATTTGCCATCCCCTATTGAGGAAAAATAGCTTTTTTTGCCTTTCCCTCAGCCTCTCCTAGCCATCCTGGAAGATCATGCTCCATTGCAAGACCAGATCTTCCTTTGCCTAAGGTGATCCCTACCTGGCTCCCACAAGTAGCAAAGGGTGGAAAGGCTAATAGGAATTGGTGTGGCCCCAGGCTAATGTTGATTGGTACACCCACAGTACTACTGTAGCTCTCTCATCTGCCAGGCACATCATGTTGGGAAACCAAGTCAGAATAAGACAGCAGGATACACTATGGATCTTTTTCCTTTTCTTAACATACAGGTTGATCCAGTTTGAGGATTACTGCTAAATGTGAACATGTGAACACTGTGAACATGATCTCCATCTAGAATGTATGTCTGCAAGATGACTTCGGATGTTTGTGAGGTGGAAGCAAAAGGATAGGGGACCAGGGCTCGGAAGGTCTCTTACATTCAAAAGCAGGGCACTGGCAAGTCCAGAGGAAAAAGCATGTGCCTGCAGCTAGTGTCTTCCACCTTCAGGACAAAATTCAGTCATGTACATGAATCCCCATGGCTCCTCCTGGGGACCACCTTCCTGGAGGGACCTAAAAAAGGCTTGGCTAGTGCTGGGAGATGTCTTGTTACTTAAACTTTGAAGCAGCTATTTTTCCTTATGCTTATAGACCTTCACCATATGCATATGGACCTTCGGTCAGTCAATCCGTCAGTCAGTCAGTCAAACAACAAGCATTTGATGAGTACTTACCTCACGGGCCATGTTGGCGCTCTTTTTAGAAGGAAGCTATTGCTCATACATACTGGTGTATACAATGCCTGGAATGGCTGCTGTACAAGTTTTTACCTTGGATGGGGTTTTTGCTGTTGATGACCCTGCATTTTGGAAGGGAATAGATGTCGCCATGGTTCCAGGGGCTACTGAGCTGAGAAGCAGATGACCAGACTGCCTGCTCTCTTAGGGCAGAGCCTAAAAGGTAGAGAGAAAGAGGGAGAAGATGATCAAATGCTTTGCTAGAGATGCTGTAATATGTTGATTTCCTGTACTTTTTGCTCCAACCTGGGTGAAACAGCTTGGGGCCCGGACTAGCACCTGAGTGTCCTTACAGCCAGATTTCATTGGAAGCCTTGGGGAAAAGGTCAAACACCAGCACCTATAAAATCCACCCTCTGGCAAAGAATTGGAAATTGAGAGGATGCCCATCAATTGGGGAATGGCTGAGCAAGTTGTGCTATATGAATGTAATGGAATACTATTGTTCTATAAGAAATGAAGAACAGGCTGACTTCAGAAAAACCTGGGAAGACTTATATGGTCTGATGCTGAGTGAAGTGAGCAGAACCCAGAGGACTTTGTATACAATAGCAGCCACGTTATGCAATGACTAAGAATGTTAAACTGAACCCTTCTCAGCATTACGAGGATCTAAGACATCTCCAGAGGCCTCAGGATGGAAAATGCTGTCCACATCCAAAGAAAGAACTATGGAAGTTGAATCGCTCTCACTTATTTTTACCTTAAGTTGAGTTTTGTTTCATCTTTCTGATGGTTCCTCCTATTGGTTTTAATTTTTACTTACAACTTCACTAATGTGAAAATATGTTTAACGGGTATGTAAATGTAAAGCCTATATCAGATTGTGCGCTGTCTTGGGGAGGGTGGGGGGGGGGGAGAAAAAGGGAGAAAAAATTTTCAACTCAAAAGCATATGAAAAAAAAAAATTAAAAAAAAAAATAAAATCCACCCTCCCCCATTCAGTCACCCTCAGGAAGAAAGCACCTGGCAGGTGGCTGAAATTCAGGACTAGCCTTTGCCATCCCCACTACCCACCTACCCACAGATTTAGATGCATTGAGAGTCTAGGAGGGGCTGAGCCAAAGCTCTTCATCTTAGAAGACATATTCAGCTCTGGAATTCATGCCTGGAAAGTGTCCTCTGCTGGATTTGAGGACTCCTCCTAACCTCATTTAAGGAGGGTGACAGTATGAGCCATCTCATCATTTCCTAAGTTCCTTGAGGGCAAGGACCATCTTCCTTTCTGTTTCATTTGCATTCCCAATGCTTAGCACAGTTCCTGGCACATAGTAAGTACTGAATAAATTCTTGTTGATAGCCTGACTGACTGCTAAGAAGGTAGAGATTTGGCCCCACCTCTGCAGTATAACAGATCTTCATGGCCCTGGGGACCTCATACCTGTCATCGATGGTTCTGTAAGAGGCCAAGGCTCCATAGCTGTCCCACCTCCAGCCTCCAGCTCTTCTCCAGGACTTGATTCTCAGGTGGCACCGGAGAACCCCTGTGGTGAAAAGGACCTCAGAAACCCCTGCACAGCTGCCTCCTCATTCCCCTTCCTCAACCCCTGCATCACCCTGAGTCCAGTCCAGCTACTTTACCTCTCTGCCTCCCCTCCCCCCAACACACACCTGTGTAGTTTCGTCATTGCTGATCCTGAGAAGTAGGGGACATGGCAAGGGAGTCTGAGGTCAGGAGACTAGGTATGGTTTGGACATGGCTCTGGGGGACCCACCTCAATGAGGCTCACCCAAGTCTGGGGCATATATGAAACACCTAACATGCCCTTCTGCACCTGAAGTTCTAGGCTTGATGGAGCAAGGGCATTAGGGACACAACCTTCCACCCTCCCAATCCTAGGACAATCATTAGACACAGTCCCTACTCCCAGGTCCTAAGATTTAAAACTGTCCCAGCTGGAAGGTCTTTCACACTTGAATGATATTATGTGGGAAAATCTCCTGATTGGTGTGCCCACTGAGATAACCTAGGGTAGTTAACATTCTTCTGCCCATCATCTCCAGTTGACCACTCCCCCAACCACCACCAACATGGGGCTGGGGAGGGGGAATCGCTTTATTTCCCAGCATTGTATCTATCTGTACCAGTGCTGCCCTTCCCTCAGAAGCCCTATGATACTGGCCAGTCCCTGGGCTATCCCCTCCTCCTCCTTTTCTTGGAGGGGAGCCTGGGCTCCTGAAAGTTCCCTCTGTCTTGAGAGAGTGGGGACTTCTCATTTCCATACCCACACTGCCCTGTGCCTGTGGCAGAGATTCTCTATGCCCCATTAAGCAACTTTTCTGCAGCCTGTGGCTGAGATTCAGGATCTGCCCAGCCTGAAGATAGTGGGGAAAAGCAAGAGGGGGGCAGATGCCCACCAGATGTGAGTGGTTGGCAAGGAAAGGCATTGTTCCCATGAGCAACTGGAGCCATGGCTGGCTGGTTGACTTACTGAAAGACTGACTTGCCTGCACAGGATTTGATGTTTGCCTAGATGTACTTGTTGGTTGCTCTTTGGGACACAAGTGAGTTATGCCCTCTCCACTGGTTCCCTCCATTTCACTGCTGCCTGGTTAACTGGCATCAGTACTCTCAGAAGTCTTCTAGTGTATCTAACCCTTTTTTATATGCTGTTTGTCCTTTGATCCAGCATCTACCACAGTGCCTGGCATGTAGTAGGCATTTAAAAAACATTGATTTGTTGAATAATTTGATTTTGTCTGGCTATGTCTCCAGATTAAGTGTCTGCCATAAGAAAGTGGACCACACAAGGAAGAAAAGAATTTGGGTATAATCAGCTAGTACCCAGAGCTAGAACTATTAGAAGTCCACCAGAGACCCTCCTCACCCAGCCCCCAGCTTGACCTTGGGTCAAGACCAAGGTAGCTCCTGCATTCCCCTCCTACTCCCCCCTCCACAAACACCCACCCCTCCCTACCCCCCACCCCCAATGGAAACTTAAGCATCAGACATATTCCCTTGAATACAGGGCTAAATGATTAAGATTTCCAATTTCCAGGCAATGACCTAAGAGGGAGACACACATCCTTGGCTTGGGCAAAGAGGGTACCTTGTCGTTGAGTACCAGTAGGAGACAATACTTACTGGGAAGTCCTAGGAAACGATGGTGGTTTGTTCCTAGTGGGATTAATATTTGGATTGCTTAATAGAGAATATGAATTGATATTTGCATACATTGATTAATAAAGTTTGATTATTAATGAAGAGAAGTGTGTGTTTGATTAATCAATCCATTGTCCTAGTAATGGTAAATCATAAATTGTTTTTGCTTGTACACCATATGTTACACCTAGCCACACAAGTGTATATAGGTATGGGCTGATCCATTGTTGAAATCTGGGCAGCAGGTTGGGACAGTTGTCCCAAATACTCCATGAGAGTGAAGAATCACTCTGGGAGTTGAGGGAGGACTCACAGAGCCACTGCCCTGCTGGGTGGGTAGAGGACAATGACACCATCTCCTGCAGGGAGCTCTGGGTATGGCTCCTTAACCAAATAGTTGATAAGAAAGTAATTGATGAAGCCCATGTGGTGCTATGAAAACTGTGCAGGGAAACTCAGCAGCAGGGAACTAGAGAGCCTTCAGCCTCACTCAAGCATGGGGCAGCCTCCTTTTGGATCATTCAGGACAGGTCACTGAGCACAGACCAAGAAGAAAAGGGATGCTGGGGGCTCAGGCTGTGTCCGGCACGTTAGTTCTCCACATTTTCAACTTCTATTTCTTTACATTTACACCTTTGGGAGAAGATCAGATAGGGTTAAAACAGTTTGTTCTTGTTCTGTGTCAGTTTGGGTTTTTGCTTTCTTTTTAGTTTATTTTTTTTTAAAGTTTGTTTTTCCTAGTGTTTCCTATTTCTAAGTCAATCAATAAACATTTATTAAGCACCTATTGTGTGCCAGGCACCGTGCTAAGCACTGGAGATACAAAGACGGCAAAAACCAATCCCTGCTTTCAAGGAATTCACAATCAAATGGGGAAAAAAAAACATGCAAACAAATATAAACTAAGCAATCTACAGACAGAAATAAATAGGAGATAATTGACTGGGGTTGGGGAAGGCTTCCTATAAAAGGTGGGATTTTAGTTAGAACTTGAAGGAAGTCAGGGAGATCAATGGGCAGAGAGGAGGAGGAAGAGCATTCCATGCCCGGGAGATAGCCAGAGAAAATGCCCAGGGAAGGGGCAGCTAGGTGGCACAGTGGATAGAGTGCCGGCCCTGGAGTCAGGAGGACCTGAGTTCAAATGTGGATTTGGACCAGATACTTGACACTTACTAGCTGTGTAACCCTGGGCAAGTCACTTAACCCCAATTGCCTAAAAAATAAAAAAAAAGAAAATAAAAATAATAAAAAAAGAAAATGCCCAGGGATGAGAGATAGTGTTTGTAGAACAGCTAGAAGGACAGTGTCACTGGATTAAAGAGTATATGTCAGGCAGTAAGGTGTGAGAAGACTAGAAAAGTATCAGGGGGCTAACTTTTGAAGGGCTTTGAATGCCAAATAGCATTTCGTATTTGATTCTGGAGACAACAGGGATCCAATGAAGCTTACTGAGTACAGAGTGACATGGTCAGACCTGTGCTTCAGGAAAATAATTTTAGTAGCCAAATGGAGGATGAACTGTAGTGGGGAAAGACTTGAGGCAGGCAGAGCCCCCTCCCCCCCCCCCCAGGATATTGCAATGGTCCAGGTGTGAGGTGATGAGGGCCTGTGGCCAGAATGATGACAGTGTCAGAGGGGAAAAGGGGCATATTTGAGAGATGTTGCAAAGGCGACATCGGTAGGCCTTGGCAACAGATTGTATTTTGGGAGTGAGAGATAGTGAGAAATTCAGGATGACTCCTAGGTTTTAAGCCTTAGGGCCTAGGAGTATGGTAGTACCCTTTACAGGGAAGTAGTACCCTTAACAGGGAAGGTAGGTGGGGGGGTGGTATTAGTGGGAAACATAATGAGTTCTGTTTTAGACATGCTGAGTCTCAGGTGTCTATTGGACATCCAGTACTAGATGTCTGAAAGGCAGCTGAAGATGTGAGATCAGAAGTCAACAGAGACTTTGGGGCAGGATAGGTATATTTGAAAATAATCAGCACCAAGATGGTAATTAAATATGTGGGAGCTGATGAGATCACCAAGTGAAGTAGTATAGAGGGAGAAGAAAAGAAAGCCCAGGACAGAACCCTGAGGGACATCTATAGTTAGAGGGAATGATCTGGATCCAGCAAAAGAGACAGAGAAGGTGCAGTAAGGGGGGGGGGGAAGAGAACCAGGATAGAGGAGTGTCTCGAAAAAGACTAGAAAGAAGAGAGTATCAAGGAGCAGAGGGTGATGGACAGTGTCAGAGGCTGCAGAGAAATCAAGAAGGATGAGGATGGAGAAAAGGTCATTGGATTTGTCAACTAAGAAATCACTGGTAACTTTGGAAAGAGCAGTTTCAGTGGAATGAAAAGGCTAGAAGCTAGATTGTAAGGGGTTAAGAAGAGAGTGAGAGGAGAGAAACTGGAGACACCTATTGTAGACGGTCTTTTCAAGGAGTTTAGCCACAAATGGCAGAAGTGATATACAACAATATGTGTTGAGGATGGAGGGATCAAGTGAGGGTTTTTGAGGATGGGGAGACATGGGCACGTTTGCAGGCAATAGGGAAGGAATCAGTATTCAGGGAGAGATTGATGATAAATGAGAAAGTGAGGATAACAGGCGGTCCAATCTGTTGGAGGAGATGGATGGAACGGGATGGTTTGTGCATATAAAGAGGTTGATCTTGGTGAGGAGTAAGGCCCCTTCAGCATGTGGGACAGGGGTGAAGGAGGAGAAAGAGGCAGAATGCACTTGGGTGATGGGAGATGAGGAAGAGGAGAAAGGAGAGAGCTCACAGTGAATGGCCTCAATTATTTATGTAAAATATGAAGGCGGGAGACTTGAGGGAGGAAAAGGTTTGGAAGAGATGCTGGAGAGAGTGAGTTGATAAAGGAGGTAGAGTAGAATTGCTGAGCAACAATGAGGTGCCAGTTGAAGTTGTGTAAAATATTTGTAGTGGAGCCAAACAGAACAGTGATGTGATCTTCTCCACCTTTATTCAGCAGCACATGTGTTAAGAGTGAAGTAGTAGACTGCAGCAGTCATCCAAGGCTGAGTCTTCTCAGGGCACAATTAGTTATATGATCAAGGGGCCAGAGACTCAAGAGAACAGTCCAGTTGAACTGGTTCACCAAGGAGTCAAGATGGAGCAAAGAGGAGAGAACGGCTAATGCAGGCAGGGGTGATTGCCTGGGAAAGAAACAAAGGGTTGAGGGTTAAGATGTGGACAAACAGTAGAGTTTGGTAAGGGAAGGCAGAGGGAGAAGTGGAAAGCCAACAGATTTTGGTCAGATAAGGGGATTTCTGAATTCTTCAACACGGTGGTGGTGCATTTGTGGATAATGGCAATATCTAGGTTAAGACCATTTTTGTGTGTAGCTGAGGTGGAGTGGATGAGGAAGTAAT